GAGTCTAACAAAACCACAGAGCAGCTTCTAGTTCCATTCATGAACTCAAAAGGCACATCCCTGCTGCAGTGACAGTGATATTGATTAGACTAAGCAAGATCAAAATCTGAAAAGCACAAGACTTTTGAAGAGGAATAGAAGAGCATAAAGAAGTAACCAAAATGGTCAGAGCCTATCCACTTTGACCTCGTTTGATCTCATGCCTAACATGTAGGATAAGGGGAAAAAAAATCATGTATATATAGAACATGATTAAAGCTTAGCAAGGTATTGTCTGAATAAACATAAATCAGAAAAGAAAAAGAGCAATGATGAAGGAAATGGATGAGCAAAATCAGTGCAGAGGGATTCAGATTTAGGTTATGGACATAGATTCAGTGATTTCACGTGTTGTTAAACATGAAATGAACAATGGAAAAACAAGGTAAATCCCTGATGACCAGATATCTTTTTGATGCTCCATTTCCATATTTCTTAGACTTGGACCATTGAATTGGGGAGAGAGAATGTTGTTAACCTCTGGCATCCCAACTCCGTCTTTACCATGTAGTGATGCTTTTAAGCTTTCCTCCTAGATCTCGTCCTTTCTGATCTCAGGGCTCAGCATACCAAAGAACTTTTCAACACATCTACCATATCGAAAAGAAATACACCGAAAATATTTCTATCTTTTACAGAACAAGCCAAATCTACAATTAACGTGAGGCTAAAAAAATTGATTGGGAACAGAAATTCAAGCAAGAACAAGACTATTTCAAGGATGAAATCTAAAACTTTAAGCCCAATAACTAAAAGGTATCGTGTATCATGAGTAATAATTCCAGTGTTTTAGGAGTATGCCAATAATTTAAAGCAACATTTGTTTGATTGTAAGATTTGCTTCCATCCAGTTTGACCAGTTTGAGTTCTTCAGGATCTCCAAGTTTGAACCGACCTTCTCCCCTTCTCTTCCCGAAGGAACAGTTAACTCAAATTCTCAACATACTAGATACCTGCTATAACACTTCCTTTATCTTTCAGTAATCAGAACACACAGAAATTTTTCATCTGCTCAAACAAACAAACCACTAAATTAATGAATCTCTTTTACTTCTCTCCAATTCCAGTCTCCCCTTTTCTCCCATAGGCGTTTGTCAATTTCGGCACTACAGTCACATTCTTCCTTTTCTTTTAAAAGTACAACTACCACCTGCCACAAATCATTAATCTTAAAGGCTTAAAAGTTGCCCCACAACATAGTTCAACATTAAGATTGGAATATTATCTTACCAATCACTCTCAACCAACATGTCTCTCTCCACTTGAACCCCACTCATTAAGAGGGAAATTTGTAACTTTCTATAGAAAAATAATTCTACTCAATGTCGTATCTTAAGGCAATATGATGATACAAATACTAAGGTAGTGGGAACAGGAATAAAGCAGATCGATCCCCTATTAGCAAAGAATTTTTATTCCAACTAATCTGATAGCAGAGAATATAACGTCTGAATAAGGATTTACATTAATGCAGTACCTAAAAGTCAGCACTAAATAAGCAATAGCAATCAAAAGATGTGTTTCGAAGCAAACAAACGTACAATGCAACTGATGAAAGTGTTGTATTAACAACAAGAATTTACAGAACTAAAGACAAGTTCACAACAAGCAATAATAACAGCGATACATATACATCAGTACAAACTAGAAGGTAGAGGAAAAAGAGGCTGGTCATAAAGAACGGGAAGCAGAAAGTAGTTGAACTCAGAAATTGAATCTCACATATACAATATATTAGGTTTCCTCATCGGAACATCACAACATAATAACCTAAGATCCAATACTTGAAGAAAGGGTAACCGTTCCTGAAATTGCCGAGTCGTAAAAATTTTCTAAAGGTATGAGGCAGACAATTTCATCAGAAACTAGTAACTTAAAAATACTAAAATCACGAACAAGAGATGAACCTGAGGTTGATCGAGCTTGAGGAACGTGGAAATTAAGATCGGAATTTCGCCGCGGGAAGAAACGAAGAAGAATGCCGCGGAACTTGCAGAGATGAATATGCACATTCATTTACTCTCGGCAGTGAATTTGTCCTAACGTAAAAAATTATTAATAATAAAGTTAAAAAAAAAAAAAAAAAAAAAACTAAATTGTTATTTTTTAAAAAATTCACACAATTTTAGTCGTATTATTTTTTTTTAATTTCAATATGGTAAATTTTTCATATTTAATAAGACATCAAACATAAACTAAATTAGGATAGCGCACAATTGAACTTAAATAGTAATTAAATTTTTTTATTATATTTTACGACATCATTGGTTGATTCTGTTAGACGAACATGACTCTCCACGATGATATGATATTGTCCACTTTGAGCCTAAGTTCTCATGGCTTTGGGCTTCCCCAAAAGACCTCGTACCAATGAAGAGTATATTCTTATATTATAAACCCATGATCATTTCCTAAATTAACAAAGTACGTCGAGGCTCCTCATGACTATTCCCTAAATTAACCAATGTGGGACACTTGCATTTAACACCTCCCTTCAACAAAGTACGTCGAGGCTCGACTCCTTTGGAGTCTTAGTCATTTTTTACTGCCTTCGTACCTTCGAGGAGGCTTGACTCCTTTTTTCTTTTTGGAGTCCTTTGTTCGATATTCGAGGATTTGTCAATCTATTGGCACGACTAAGTTTAGGGCATGACTCTGATACCATGTTACACGAACACGACTTTCCACAATCGTATGATATTGTCCACTTTGAGCATAAGCTCTCATGGGTTTGCTTTCGGCTTCCTCAAAAGACCTTATACCAATGAAGAGTGTATTTTTAGATTATAAACTCATGATCATTCTCTAAATTAAATGGGACACTTTCATCTAACAGATTCCACGATTTATTTTATAAAAAATTGTCAGGTTTATTTGTATAAGTTGATAATTCAATCTGGTACAACTTCAATATATATCGGTATATATTTTGAAATTTATAGTTTATCTCAAAATATTTTTAAACTTTAAAAAATTTCGATAACTTCAAAATAGTATATTCTTAAACATTTAAAATCTTTATTAACATTCTTAATTTTTAAAATAATTTTAAATTTTTTTAAAAACTTAAGAAACACGAACTTACTTTAAAAAAAAAAATTCAAGAACATCCTTATTATTAGTATTACGTTTAAAAAATACTAATTGATTTTTAAAACTAACATTACAAAGTTTAGAGATAATCTTGAGGTGTTGATAGCAGAGTCTTGTTAAGGTTCCAGCAATGGAATAGAACTTTCGGATTGAATGAGAGAGGTTCCGGATTCAATGAATTTACTCGACGACTGAAGGGTTGAACTAACTATTTTACGGTCTCTCATTGTTGAGCTCTCCTCTTTATTCTTGCTTGAACCCGGTAACTAGGTCTTTCTTTGATTCTTTCTCTGATCCTTTCTTGCTTGAACCCGGTAACTAGGTCTTTTATTCTTTCTCTGATCTGGATCCGGGTAGTACCAGGACCCTTGTGCTCCCTTGATCAGAGAAAGCTGTCTCTCTGTCAGCCAGCCCTATGTATGTGTATGACAACTATAAATGAGCCTTGCGATGAGACACTGACATTTCCGTAAAGTGAACGTGCTCATTGAGCAGCTTCCAAAAGAGAGGGGAAGAACTGCCACAGGGTTCTAATTACATCTTTCTTGTCTTGCTTTTGTCTGCTTGTTTTGAAAGCTTGAAACGACAGACAAGTGGTGACTATGAGACGGCTCGTTCATATATAGATAAATATGTATTTTTTAATTTTTAACATTTTCAAATAAATCAATGGTATTTTAAAATTTTCACTTGTATTTTTTTTAATATAGTTGAACTTTTTAAAAAGTAAAGAGTATTTTCGAAATACTATTAATAGTTTATTTTTTAAATTAACTAAAATTAATATTTTTGAGAATTTTTTAAAAATTTAAATATATTATTGAACTTGATTTTTATTAATTTAGACCTCGTTTTGAAAAAATGTTGAGAGCCCAGGAGAAGCCCAAATCAAACGACATGTCGGCGCAGAGTCTCATGCTTACGTGGGAGTGATTTCGTGATTGTGCGCGCGTGCCTTTTAATCTAAATATTATCGTTGTTATTATTATTATGATAAACTCAGATATTCTTTTTCCAATTATCAATTATTCCTTTTCCCCACTTGCAATAGTTGCAAACAAAACCTAAAATCTTTATTAATTAATTATTTTATTTTATTCGTATTGCGCCGACAAGTCTCACTCATTTATTTATATAATCACTTGCAATTAAATTATTGGTGGTGTTTATGGGTTAGGTTTAATCCGATATTATTTTTAGATTCAACTCAATTATTTTCCCGTATTTTATTTTTTAAATATTTTAAAAAATTATGTATGGCGAATGTTAGACGAACACGACTCTCCACAATGGTATGATATTGTCCACTTTGAGCATAAGCTCTCATGGCTTTGCTTTGGGCTTCCCAAAAGTCCTCATTCCCATGGAGAGTGTATTCTTACATTATAAACCCATAACCATTCCCTAAATTAACCGATGTGGGACTTTTTCCCAAAAGGCCTCATTCCCATAGAGAGTGTATTCTTACATTATAAACCCATGACCATTCCCTAAATTAACCGATGTGGGACTTTCATCATCCAACACCTCCCCTCGAACAAAGCACGCCTCCCCTTAACCGAGGCTCGACTCCTTTGGAGTCTTAGTCATTTTTGACTGCCTTCGTACCTTCGAGGAGGCTTGACCCCTTTTGGAGTCCTTTGTTCGACATTTAAGGATTTGTCAATCTATTGACACGGCTAAGTTTAGGGCATGGCTCTGATACCATGTTAGACGAACACGACTCTCCACAATGGTATGATATTGTCGACTTTGAGCGTAAGCTCTCATGGCTTTGCTTTGGGCTTCCCCAAAAGGCCTCATAGGTTTATAACCTAAGAATACACTCTTCATTGGTATGAGGCCTTTTGGGGAAGCCCAAAGCAAAGCCATGAGAGCTTACGCTCAAAGTCGACAATATCATACCATTGTGGAGAGTCGTGTTCGTCTAACAGTAAACATCTTAGTCTACCATATTATACAGGTCTCTATTTTTTTTTTTTTTCTTTCAATTTTATCTAATTTCCTGCCTCTAGTCCTTCAATAAAAATAACAATTCCAACAGTCTAACAGAAGGTATCTGGTTCGAGTTCATGCAACGCCATATTTTTTTATTTTCATTTTATATATTATTTATCCAAAAAATCTTATATGAACACAAGACTACAATTACTCATATTACTCGTATCGCCGGCCTCTCGTCCTTCCATAGAAATAACAATCTAACACACCAAAGATCTCCGATTCAAATTCGAGCAAAGTCATATATTTTATTTCAACTCTATAAATTATTTATTTAATTCAAAACTACACCTAATCAGAAATTTAATATAAATACAATTACTCGTATTGTTGCCTTGCCTTGCCTCTCGTCCTTCCATAGAAATAACAATTCGAACCGTCTGTCTAACACACCTAAAGGTCTCCAATTTGAATCTGAGCAAAGTCATATCGTTTATTTCAACTCTATAAATTATTTATCTAATTTAAAATTACACCTAATAAAAAATCTAATATAAAGACAATTACTCGTTTTGTTGCCCTGCCTCTCGTTCTTCCATAAAAATAATATTTCGAACAATTTGAAGTTCAACGAGAGGCAAATCGATCTAACGACAACGTAAGCTCATTCCACTCCGAACTAAACAGCTTTCTAATGAGAACAATACGATATCTCAATGCTACAAGCCAAATGCTTAAATAACACAATACACATCGCATTCACAAGAAAAGAAAATGGATACCATGAAAAAAGGGCTTGATATCATCTGTCAGTTAATTTCAAATTCCTTATTTCAAACATACTGAAGCGTGCATAATATAGCAGAGGTAAGAAAAAAACTTGGGATTCAAGGCATAAATCATACTACCCGTGCTATATGCCATAGAATCAATCCCCGTGGATGGTGTACCGCTCCCATTTCTTGGTTGGATCGTATATCTGCAACGAACGGGGAGGGGATTGAAGTTTATGGAATTACCAGACAAGGAGAATCGTCAACACGAACAATGTTACAAGCAGAACAAGAGATAAGAAGCATACCTCCCATCTTGAAGCAGGAAAGATATGCTTATTCTTCTCGTACCAGTGCCTCTCAACAACTTTCCCAGCATGAGACTGTCAGAAAATAAAACAAACACAAATGATGAGTTTAGAAAATGATGGTAATAGTATCATGAAGAACATAACTTGTGAAGAGGCATCTTCCTAGACTGTCAGAAAATAAAACAAACACAAATGATGAGTTTAGAAAATGATGGTAATAGTATCATGAAGAACATAACTTGTGAAGAGGCATCTTCCTAAACTAAGTTAACTGGAGATCCTACATCTGTTGGAGAGGGGAATGAAGCATTCCTTAAAGGGTATGAAATTTTTCCTAGCGGAATAGTTTTAGAACTTTGAGGAAAAGCCCAAAAAGGAACAATTTCTGCTAGCGGTGGGCTTGAGCTGTTATATTAACGCTTCTTACTAAGTTAACTGGGAGATCCCACATCAGTTGGAAAAGGGAACAAAGCATTCCTTATAAGAATGTAGAAATCTCTCCCTAGCGGACTTGTTTTAAAACCTCGAGGGAAAATCTGAAAGGGAAAGCCCAAAAAGAACAATATCTGCTAGAGGTAGGCTTGAGCTGTTACATTAACGCTTTTTTCTAGACTTTGATCATTGCAATGAGCGTTTGATCAAATTTTGCCAAGGAGAGGGGAAATAACGTAAATGGAAGCCGCATATTATCAAATGCTCATAAGATACTATTGAATTTGATAAGACATGTATAAAGCTACTCTCTGCTTCCACCAACTTCACCTAACTTACATTGTCTAGCAATCATAATAAGAAAGCACACATGAAATAAATTTAAAAAATATACCTCATCCTTCTCGATTGTCGCATCAGCAGTTGTCCGAACATCCTCGTGTACATCAAAGTGGAAAAGCTGAGAATCAAAAGAATTGCAAGTACATGACAACAGGTTAGTCATAGCTCATTAAAAATAACAAAATTGTTCTTCAATAAGGTGTATCAATAAACCTGAAATCTAAATCAGAGGGAGTGAACATCCAAAACGTGAATTTTTTTATGCATTAAGCGAACAAGAGCTACAATTTCCAAAAAAATGCATAAAGAAGCCTTACCGGGCCACTTTTTCCTCTAGCCTTGTTCACAATAAGCTCATAGAAGCTATGTTGCTGCACAATAGAACAAAAAACTCAGCACACTCACCGAGAAGCAAAGACCAAAAACAATATCACAACGATTTCGAAGTTCTATTACGTGTGGTATTATAAGATCCTCCTTCACATAGAGCAAATTCTCTACCGAGGTAGTCCTAATCTCCCGAAACTCGGGAGCGAGTTGCTGCTGTACAGCCCTCAGAAACTCTCCAATTCTATCACCTTTTCGTGCCTAAAAGAAAACAAAAAACAAATACAAGGCTCAAATGAGCTCAGGAAGCGACAAGAAAACAGGATTATTTCTAGTTGATCATTAATAACCTGGATGACTCGTCTATGCCCAGTTCCATCCCAATAACTGTAAGTAATTTGAAGTGGCTCGCCTGCGACACAAGGGAAAGATTTAATTACTCCATTCAGTACCATATCACCTATATGCAACCATGAAATCTATACAGGGCTCAAATATAAAATTACTTCGAATTTGCTCCTGCTCCCGAAGCCACTGTTTCTTCAGCCTTTCACGCTCAGCTTGCTCCTCAGCTTCCCGCTCACTGTAATAGAATCCTCAATCCCCCTAAGCTAAAACATTAGTCCCAAAAATATATATAAGATGTAGGGAGAGTATGAGAAAGAAGGATGCCACACCTATCAGGCAAAAAGCTAGTCTCCACTGTAGGATCTTTCCCAAGTTTATCACGCCCGAGCTTCCTTGGCTCCAAATTTTCTATGAAGCACAAGCACAAGTTTGGATTATTAAGTGGTCATGGCTAATAAGTTACAACATCTTGGCACTGACACCAGAAGTCAATTTCCTTCAAACTATTATGTTAAAATGGTATGAGTTTTATATTACATAAGTCTCGTCGTACAAAAATGAAATATATTTCAGATAGAACAAGAAAAATGCTTACTATTACCATCGTCCTCATCGCTTCCATTCTCAAAATCATCAGAGAAAGACAAACGTGAATTCCCCCTTATTTTCCTTTTCCTGCGTTTTTGCAATTGGAGTTCCTCTTCCCTGAAGACAAGGAAATAAAAACGATGAAGGGAACGTTAGAAATCACGACTCTCCAGAATGGTATGATATTGTCCACTATAAGCATAAATTCTTATGGCTTTGCTTTTGGTTTCCTCAAAAGGTCTCGTACCAATGGAGTTCTATTTCTTACTTATAAATCCATTATCAACCCCTTAATTAGTCGACAGGGACTCTGCCACCAACAATCCTCAAAAACTTTTCCAGTAGAAGAAGACAATGAGAAAACTCACTCTCGTTGTAGCTTTTGAAGTTTCTCCTTCTCCTCCTCCTCAAATTTGTTTCGAATGTTCACTTTCTATGGTTAAATCAACAAAAACAAACGGCTTACAATTTATATATGCTTTTATTAACAGTAAAAGGAAAAGTGTTCATATCATATTTTCTTTCTTTACCTTCTCAACATACTCTTCTCTCGTCACCAGACCAACAGTTTCCTTCTTGAATGCTGTCTCAAGAATCTGAAATACGTACAAGAATTAAACAAAATTTCAACACAAGACCTAAATAACTGGTGGCAAAATCCACCGTCGAAATTCGAAAACGATGTAAGCCAGAGAAATTAAAATTTAATATGAACCTCAGAGGTACTGGAGCCGAATTGGAGGAGACCAGGCTGGCCTTTATCGGAGGCAGTTTTGGCCTTGAGCTCCTGGATTTTCCGGCGCTCGGCTTCCCTCTGCTTCTCGAGTCTTCGAATCCTGACGGCGTCTTGGGCAGTGCCGACGTATCCATCTCCCATGCCCGACATCTTCTTCCGATCTTTCTACAGTCGTCGCCGGCGCGCTCTGCGTCACGCGGTCCCGAGTTGCCGCCTTTCGGAATGGATCGAAGATGGAGAAATAAAAGCGTTAATCTGGAATTTTATTGAATTTCGAATCCGTTCGAGTTAAACCATCATATTTAAAATTATGTCAAAAATATTCAAAATTTAATTTTGTAGATAGAAATATCATAAAATTCGTCCAATATTTATGAAATTAAATATATATATATTAATTATAATTGAGAGCTACCATTTTTAAATATTGTAATTAATCTTAATTTGCTAAAATTATTAATAATTTAGGATTCTTTTATCAAACGATTTGTTTAAGATGAGAAATAATAAAATAACAAACTGGTTAACTAATCTATTTTATTTTCAATTTTTTTTAAAAAAATACAATACTTTTTATTATTTCTTGATTATACGTATATTCTCAATTAAAATATTAGATTATTTTATATTTCAAATATTGTATTAAACTTTTATTTTATATATATATAAGCGATTCTTTTTAAATTTATAGTGTTTTTTAAACACTTTTGAAAATAATTTTTTAAAGTTTAAAGATATTTTAAAAATAAAATATTAATAGTTATTATAATAAAAAAATAACTATAAATGTTTATATTTTTTAGTTTAAAAGTATTTTTTAGATATATTTTTTTAAGTTTAAGCATATAATTGAAATTTTAAAAATAAAATACAAAAAATATTTTTACTAATTTAATCTTTAATATTATAAATCATTATTACAAACCAAAAAAAAAAAAAAAAAAAAAAAAAAAAAAAAAAAAAAAAATT